TCGTTATACTATTATCTTCATCCTTACGTAATTATGCTGTCTTGCGTTCACACACGTTGAACTAATTCGATATTTACTTGAATGTCTATACGCATTGTTAAATTGTGGGAGTGCACAGGGTGATAGCGTGGGGTTTGGATTCCCTATAAGAGAACAGCATTTTGATATCCAGACAATAGATAAAAAAAAAAGTGGATTATGTTCAACGACATATAGCTGAGTAACCAAAAGATCATAAATTATACTCATATCGAAAAATAGTCTTGCAGTTGTACAAGTTTTGACTACAAACGCATAACTAAAAACCGAAAACACACAGAAGCAATCCATCATTTGTCACAAAAAAAAATCTTAGAAGGTTCATATGATATTATTGTCAAGACCTAAGTTGTGTTTTGCATCACAACTCACAAGTATAAATTTTGATCTGACAACCTAATAAAGATCAACCCAACGTGTTTGAGATTTCTCAAGCTTCATTTCTAGTTTGAGGTTTCCGAACTGTCTTCAATCACAACTGGGTCACGAGACGCCCTCTGTCAGATCCAACATTCTCCATTGACGTTCACCACATTGTACCCATCCACAACTTTCCCAAACACCACATGTTTCCCATCAAACCACGACGTCTTCTCCGTACAAATAAAGAACCTGATAAACATTAGCCATAGACAAAGAAGACCTATTAAGATAGCAAAGAAGACCTTCGGGTTTGACATTTTTCTTCACTGATTCTCCAAATCATGCCAATAACAAAGCTACGATTAAGCAACTGAAACTAAAACCATGGATCTCAAAATCAGCAAATCTAAGACCAATGTCACCCAATATGCTCCGTACATTCTAATACACATGCTCAACCAAATGTCCTAATCCGTTCAAAGAACAAAACTTGTGGAATCATCATATCACCTAATGAACACTTAAACTACACTACATCTAACTAAGTTCTTAATATTGTCTGATTCAAATTCTTAGAACAGATCAGTTGTTAAAAAAATTAAAATCATACAACACAGTGAAAGAAAATGTCCCATTCATTAGAATTGTCGATAAGAAAAGAGAGATTCTTATAACACAGAGATCTTTTGAATCTCAATGGATGGTTTTAGGGTTTCGCACAAATATTGAGCTCGCAGACGTTTTAGTCATACGTTATCTGCAAGCCTTCGATATGTGCTTTACGCAATTATTGTAACTCAAATTAAAGAACCATCGGATCAAACAGAAGTGAAAGAAAATCAAGACCACGAACTGGGTTGATCGAAAGGTGGTATAGGTACCTTATTCTCACAGTTCGGCTTCGATGACGCAAGCCAATAGTTATATAACGGCTCACGGGTTCTGTAAAAGCTAGGGTTTTACTAGGAAGATTGAGACAGAGACTTATGTATGTTACTTGGTTTTGTCCTAATAGGCTCAGCGAAAAAGCCCATAAGACAATTCAGGCCCACTATCAAAATCAGTTACTGTTTTAATATTGAGAGTATATTTTATGTAGAACATTATCAAAATTGTTTGAGTCGATTTAATTCCCTATACTTGGTCAAAAATCAGAAAAAAAATCTTACAAAAAGAACCACTGAACACCATCTATCTAATCATAGTTCCTTGTTATAAAGATTGATGAATGTTCGTGTTTACGGACGCCACGATGATTTCACACCAACAAGGAACTTGCCTTTGTGCACATTCGTTGACCACCGTAGAGATAAAAGAATAGGGTTAAGCATCTTCATCATTTCAACGGTGTCTTGCACAACAAGGTATCCTCCTGGTCTCACTATTCTGTCTATTTCCACTACAACCTCCATCAAATCACACCTGAGAAAACCAAAAACAGCATGTAGTTATGCAACAGATTTAGAAAACAACAAGCTTGCAGGCAGAATCATAAAGTTTTCTTTACCTTTGAGAAAGATTGGTGAGAAGGAAACTAGAGTGCAAGAGATCATATGATCTTGGGTACGTGTTGAATGACTCACACCAATCATGGTAAATCCCTATTAAACCTCTATCGAAAATCATTGATAACGTGTCTTCACTGTGTACAGGAACCACATTCATCACCCATAGAGGTCTGTTTATAAGAGCAGCTGCAAATCTGAAACCCCCAAAAATCAAGAAAAAAAATGTAAGAGCTAGAAAGAATCATCTGAACAAAACTATATTCAAGGAATGGTCTCACCCTCCATAACCAGCATTCATGTCCATCACATTATGAATCTTGGTCCAGTTTATAGCTAAACCGTTTAAGTAGACATCTGACACGGTCTCAGACCAGACTCTTGTGTCTTCTCTGAAACTCTCTTCAGTACTCTGTTCTGTTAAGAGACTAACCGGTTTATCGGTTAATCTTTCAGGCCATTGGGTAGGCCATTTTCCGGTTAAACCGACCGGTACTTTCGGTACACAGCTAAGCAGAGGAGTGTACCATGTACTATTTCTCCTTGTTTCTTCTTCATTACAAAGAGGTGGATCATTGTTCTTACGGGCTCCATAGCAAGAATCTGAGTCTGGTTTCTGGAAAATCACGAACCCTACTTTTGTAAACCGGGTTCTCGCCACGACTTTCCAACACATTGATGTAGTCAAAGACTCCATGGCTACAAAAAAACATTCATAAATATCTTTACGTGTGCTAGAAGTAACCAACAATATACAACACACTAACTTTTCCAAACGTTACGGTGCCCTTGATCATGTTGATAAACCGGTGTAGCTGACCAAACAAAGAACCCTCCAGGTCTTAGAATCCGGTTAAGCTCCAAAAGCGGTCTACCACCTACCACAACAACACATTTTTCATGAAAAATTACTGTATACACACACAATCATAAGTTAAGCCAAGGTAATCACAAACCGTATCCATGCCAATGGACTCTGCATCTAGCGCAATGGATAACGTCGTAAGCATTATCAGGGAAAGGAAGCTTTTGAGTTCCAATAACAGCTAGAGTAGCTGGGATGCCACGTTCTAATGCGAACTGAATCTGAGCTTCGTGTTCGTCTTTAGGAGCAAAGGACATTGTGATCACGTTTTTGTCAAGTAAAGTGCCACCAAAGCTAGCCACACCACAACCAACGTCAAGAACCACTCTTACTTTCTTTCCCCATTCAAGAACAGGTAACGTCTGTATAAAAAAAAAAGAACCGTGAAGTTAAAGAGAAGAGGAGACAGAGAACAGTGTAGAAAGTGTATACCTTTTGTATGAAGTTGATGTAGTGAATAACACCGTCTTTGAACTGAGTTCCACCTCCAGGGAAGACAAAGAAAGGTCCGGTTTTACGAATCCAGTTCTGGTCTTTCTTGTAGTCTACAAGCTTAGGGTGAGGAGCATTATCATACCATATCTACACAAAAACAAGAGTTTAAACCAATCAAACAGAGGTACTAATCTAATCAAGAAGCAGAACAAGAACCCTCCAAGAAACGAGTCTCCTCACCATGTCTCTGCTCTTAGGCCAAGGCAAAGGAACCTTGTAGCGTTTTGGTAAAGGAACGAGACATCTAGGAGCAGGCTCAGGACAGTGCCTCTCTCTGTGCTCCATGTTCCTCTTAGACTTGAGTTTCTTGATGGCTTTCATGTTATCCAAACACGGCATGTAATCTGGACTCTCGCATCTCTGCCAGTCTATCTTCAAACTCACGTTCCATGTCTTGTCTTGAAGCCAGTCCAAATCTTGATCAACCGGATCATCGTTGACACGGTTTTCATCAACCGGTTTATCATCGTCTACGACGTGAGTCTGAGACTGAGAAACAGGTGGTTCCGGAGGGGGCGAAGAGTTGTTCACGGTGGTGGGAGTCAAGGTTGGTGTGAAAGTGGGGACGTCGGAGAGGGAAGAGCGACGGAGATAAGAGAGAGACAAGTAAGGAAAGAGATCGATGGTGTCATTGGTTAAGAGAATGATCGTGACTGAGACAAGCAAGATTGAGAGAACACATAGGCCTGAGAATTTACGGCTTTGGAAAATGTTCATCGTCATTGTTTCTTTTCACACGTTTACAAAACAGAGAAGGAGACTCTGATCGATCTTGAGAGAAAGAGTAATTAATGATTGTGTTTATGTGTTAAAGAGCTAAAAATAGAAACCAAGACTGGCAATAAATAAATTTGACCAAAAAAATAAAAAAGATTGGCAATAAATAAATATATATGTGAAACGTGTCATTTTACTACTTGCTATCATGTAATGAGATAGGGAAATAATCTAAATAGTATATTATATTTTTTTTTTATGAAGCCATGATTTGAATTATTGCATATTTGATGTGCAAGTTAGTGGATGCCTATGGAATATATAAGGAGACAAAATAAAGATGACAAGAAGATTGGTCTAAACCGTTGACAGAAAACCGGAAACCTTTACTCTCTTTATCTGGTTGCTGGCTTTGCCGTTATGTGTCTCAATTAACTGGTGGAAGTTCAAGAACTAATGATCTGATCAAAACTGCTTAAGCTATACTCTAGTGGATCAAATATAATTTGTGAGTGTTTTTAAGCATTTGTTTCAATTTTATGTGCAGAATTGCTTAATTGTAGATTCATCTCGTTGTGCCTAAGCAGGCAACTTCAATTACTCGACTCAATGGTTTATGACAAGCAGCTGATGTAAACAAAAACTAACCGCTTACTATTTCTCAGTCAAAGTAGATAAAGCAGCAGCATTTATAAGAGACTACAACCAAAAACAGATTAAGCAGCAGCAGTTTCCAGAAGCTTCTTCTGATTGAATGCCATGTTCCTGAACACATAAAAACATAGTGTGAGACATGAAATGGACTACAAAGTGTATTGAACTGAAAGAAATGAAAAATGTGACCAAACTAAGTTTAAGAATATGTTGATGCTATGAAGCAAATCTGACACACAATAGTAGATAATACAATAGCACCAAGGTGAATATAAGTTTATAACAGTAGAATCTTAGCACTTTGTGCTTTCCTGAGTTATATGATTTAAGCTTCTCTGCCAACTTCGTGTGTGTAAATAATTTGCCAATTAGAAGAAAACAGAGAACTCTGTTATGATCAAGCTTACAGTATTTACAAACACAAACTGATTAAGAAATGGTTTAAAGACATAAATGAAATAAAACAAGAAACACACTACTTGGAGAATCAAAGAATTGCAAATAAAATAAAGTCTACTACTACTCTGCAAAACTCTCCATTCCTTTTCTACCGACTTGTGGAAGCAGAAGCTTCAGGAAGATCAATCAACGGTTCAGATGTTGCTGCTGCTGCTTCCATCTCTTCAGGTCTAATCTCTCCAAGTTGTGTCATAACTTGCTGAGCTTCAGGTCTCGTTGATGGTGTAGGATCAACACAATGCAAAGCCAGTTTCAACGTATTCAACAACTCATCACCCATAGTGTTCACATCAGTCAACAACTCCACATCAAAAACCTCATTAGTAGACTCTTCTTTAACCGCAGTAGCAACCCACTGAGGCAAATCCACACCGTTCAAGGCCTCGCTTGGTGACTTCCCAGTCAAAAGCTCTAGTATGATCACACCGAGGCTATACACATCGGTCTTGGTGTTGGCTTTCTTCAGCTTAGAGAGCTCTGGTGCTCTGTAACCTAATGCACTAGCCGTGGCAATCACGCTTGATCCTGCTGCTGTTATCATGAGTCTTGAGAGACCGTAATCTGAGATCTTCGCGTTGTTGTTCTCATCTAGAAGTACATTGCTTGATGTTAGGTTTCCGTGGATGAGGTTTGCGTGTGTATGAAGGTAGAACAAACCACGAGCCATTCCTTTTATTAACCTCATCCTTGTAGGCCAGTTGATATGAACTTCTGGTCCTCTAGCTGTAATTTCAAAACATTAATACCATATGTTATACAAATGTTACATATCCATATCCAATAACATTATAACACAAGCTTACCATGGAGGAATGTGGCAAGATTGCCTCTAGACATGTAATCAAAGACCACAAGCTTCTCTCCCTTGGGTCCTAAGTAATAAGCTCTGAGTGCAAGGAGATTCGGATGTCTGATTCTTCCCAATACATTAATCTCATTTTCAAACTCTTTCTGACCTCGAGTGATCTTTTCTCTCAGTCTCTTCACTGCAACTTGACTTCCATCTTCAAGTGTAGCTTTGTAAACTGTTCCATAAGTGCTTTTCCCCATGACATCAGCTGTTGCACACAGAAGATCATCAGCTGTAAACGCCAATGGCCCATCAAAGTGAACAAGCTTCCCTCCTGTTTCACCTCCAGCTTCAGCTTCTCCTCCTTTCTCAGTCTTCGCAGCTGCAGTTGCAGCTCCAGATCCAGCCTCTAGGCCTTTAGGTTTGGACTTATCTGGTTTCTTCCTCAGCAAGCAACAGAGGAGAACAAGCACAAGGATAAACATAACTATGAGGAGTGCTCCAGAAGCAATGAGGATGATGTCTTTAGTACTCAGATTCCTTCCAGATGATTTGCTAGGAGACGGTGAAGGAGGGGTTATAGTAGGACATGGTGTAGAATCACTGTATCCACAAAGCTCTAGGTTTCCGACAAAGGAGGTGGAGTTGAACTTTTGGGACAAGAGAGTAGGAACAGGACCAGATAAGTTGTTGTAAGAGACATTGAAGAAGCTAAGGCTTTTGAGATCAGTGATGGAAACAGGAATCTCTCCGGTGAGTTTGTTTTGAGACAAATCTAAATGTGTAAGAGAAGCAATGTCCCCTAAGGTTTCAGGAATCTGGCCACTAATACTATTACTGGCAACATCCATTAATCTAAGCTTAGTGAGTTTGCTTAGCTGGGGAGGTAGGGTTCCACTGATCCTATTATGACTAAAGGAAAAGACTTGTAGGTCAAGTAAGTTGCAAAGTGAAAGAGGGAATGGACCAGAGAGAGTGTTGTGGTCAAGAGACAAGACACGGAGACTAGGAGAAGTGTTTTTATTACTATTACCCCAAGTGTCTAAGACAGGACCAGAGAGATTGTTATGGTCAAGGGAAAGAAACTGAAGAGAAGAGGAACGAGTGAGACTCACTGGGATCTGACCAGAGAGTGAGTTAAAGCTGAGGTTAAGCCTAAGAAGCTTAGTGGAATCAGCAAGACTCGGTGGAATAGCTTCAGACAGCAAGTTATTACTGAGATCAAGTGTCTGAAGGAAACGAGAAGCACCAAGAGAAGCAGGGATGGAGCCGGTAAGACGGTTATTGAAAAGCTGAACTCCTCTGAGATTAGGAATGAGTCCTAAAGACAAAGGAATCGAGCCTCCAAGATTGTTGTCATGAAGACTAAGTTTACGAAGAGCTTGAAGCTGTCCTATCTTCTCAGAGATTCTACCTCCAAGAGACTTCCATGGGAGCTGAATCACTATGACTTGGCCTTGAGCACATTTGATTCCAGCCCAACCTCCAGAGCAAGCGGTGAAGCCTGAACCGTTCCAGCTTCTCAAGACCCCTCTTGGGTCAATAAACTCTTGTTTAACAGCTTGGAGGCCTTGGTAATCAGCTTGTGTGATCACTACACCGTCCCAGGCTTGGCTTGAGCTTGGAGAGACAAAGAAGAAGAGGGTGATGAGAAAGAAGCTTCGAAGTGAAGCCATGGGTTGATCAAGAAAGGATTGATCTTTGGTGGTGAGAAACTCCATTGGAAGAGAGAAGAGAGAAGAAGAAGAGTGAATGAGATTTCTCCTAAGCAAGAATGGTTTTGGATTTGAAAGAGTTTTGTACAGTGAGAGATGGGTTTCGTTGGAAAAGAACATAGCACGTGCCCATATTACAGAGAGAGAGAATCTTTGTGTTCTTTTTTATCATGTAGTGGGAGAGAAGAGAGAGAGGAGACAAAGATCAGGTGATTGTAATAAGAGGGTTTGGGGGTGGAGCAGAGGCTCTCTAATAACTAAATGAGTTCTAACGGCTAGTTTCATTTATTATTATATTCGTTTTCTTAGTTAATTGTGTGTGTTTGAATACTTTGGTTTCTACGTTGGGTCGATCTAGCTCATGTCATTTTGTTTAACCATGTGAATTATGTATTACTTAAATGATAATTTGGACTAGTTTTCATGAATTATAAATCTAATATAAGATTGTTTTGGTTATGAGTTTCAAAAATCAGTGTTTGTTTTCAGAAAGGTTGATAACTAACTTTTAAAAGAAAATTGTCATTTATTTTTTTCATGGTTCATCTTGAATCAAATAATAATATACTCCCTCTGTTTTTTATATGATGTTTTAGAAGATTTATGTTTCAAAATATAAGATGTTTTGAAATTTTAAAATTAACTTTAACTTTATTGGAAACTGTTTTCCCAATAGAATTTTACAATTTTTTTATAATTGATTAAATAATTTTAAAATTATATCTTTAAAAATATTTTTAGTGAGCATAAAAATGTATTAATTTCCGTGCACTAACCTAAAATATCATATAAAAAGAAACCGATGGAGTATTACTTAGCTTCAAATTTATACTTGCTGTAAGGTTTGTAATTTTTGATGAAAAAGAAACTCATTGCCCTTAAATATTGGTGTTTATTAGGCGATACTAATAATTCCAAATCTGATTAAGAGATCCAAGTATTTTTCGTCTAAATAAATAAAGAAGGCAGCAAAAATTAATTTGGATGAATAATATCACTGAACAAAAAAAAAATGAATAATATCAGAATATTATAAAAATATAATATTTGGCAACAAAGATCAACACAGTATTTAAAACCTTTTTTTGGCAGACGAGCTTCGTTTAATGCGCCGGAGCTTTGCCTATGGACAACAAACCGCTCCTTCACTCCTAACGGCTATATTTGTGGGTCCTACCAGACATAGATCACTAGATCTGCTAAGCAAATTAACAAAGACACTTTTTTTTTGTCAACTAACAAAGTCACTTATTTGTGGTTAATGATGAAATTACCCTCCAAAGTGGAAAGTAAATAATGTAAAATATATACTTTCAAACTTTGAAAGGCAAAAATTTTTCCAATAGAATAAGAAGAGAAGGGTTGTGCCGTACGAGGTTAATAAATATTTTGACAATGACGTTGATCTATCTTTACTTCTCTCCTTTAACGATAGTTGTTGAGTGGTTCACGTGTATCCCGTTAAGATATGTAGGCTTTCCACTTTTGAACTTCAATTTTAAATGTTCTTTCATGTATTTGACTGTAAACATTTGTTTTCGGAGAATGTCAAAAAGTCTTATGGATACAAGTACAACAGTATGGTTGCAATAAATAAATTTGACCTTAAAGCTCAACATAATATGCCACCAACAGAGATGTTAAATTGGATTCAACTTAACATGTATTATTTTTTTTAACCATAGTACTGTGTTTTGTAACATGATAAAAAAATGGACTTAACAAGGTTTAAGTTTTAAAATACTTTCAAAATTTGTACTCATGATTTTCTGATAAGCCTTGGCCCACCAATTATTTTGAAGATATTATAAGGCCTGATACATAAAGGTTGCACCGGTCCAATACTTCCTTCAGATCATGATTTCCTCAATTAATTTTATTATTACTTTAATCAAAATCCTTTTAGTCACGTCTCACCTTCCCGGCTCCTTCATCGCATGTTCGGTGTGATACTGGAACATAGTGAAATGACACCGGTTAAATACATGTTTGACGAAAGAAAGTTCGATGTCAATCTGAAGCTGTGGGCTTTAAAGATTCCCCGTGAGCTCTGTAAAAGGCTAAAAGCGCAACTCGGATACTCAATGGATACGTTTCTTCAGCTTTATAGGCTCACAAAGTGTTAACGTTGCGCTAATGATGATCTCAAAGTTACTCTTTTTTATCTCCAACCTCAACGAGCTCAGTGAGAAAGTGTTTGAATCAGTTTTTGGGAACCATTTGATTGAATGAGATTTAAAAAAGTGAATCGCCTTAATTAATGTGATTTATGTTTTTATCGATGAAAAGAATATTATTTTTTTGTGTGTTTAATAACATGTAGATACATGCTCAACATGCCACAAATTAAGCCTACCACTGAAGAACCTGGTTGTGATAACGTTTAGTAATACTGTCTGAAAGTTTTAAAATCCGGAAATGTGTTTCAAAGAAAAGGTGGGAGTCGTATTAACCAAGTCATGTTTTGGGTATGGGACAAATTTGTTATATATACCCGATGAAAACTAAAACAACTTAAGAAACTATGTGAAGTTGAAGTAGTTCCTCATTCTTTTACCCTTGGCTATTCCTATTGGAGTGCAGGTAAGACGAACATATTCATTTGGAATATTCATTCCATGCGTTTGTATTTTGGAGTTACTAGGACGTTTAGAAGAGCTAATAGTTTATGTTTCTTTTTGAAGAATCTTCTCTTGAGATCTTTAATCTAAAGCTTACATAGATCTGTTTCATACATGTGTATGAGAAAAGTTGGTTACCATTTCCTATTGTTGATTCGTTTCCTTCTTCATGAATTTTGATTACACCTATTGTTCTGGTTATTTACGCAGAATGTGACGAAGCCAACTCATAGGCTATTGAATACTAGTTTAAGTGTTCATTCACCATTTCTTTGTAACTATTGTTGGTTCCTTTTCTTCTCCATATACTTTGATATCTCTATTGTTCTGGCTATTACTCAGGGTTTAAGGATTCCAACTCATATGGTATTGATTAATATCTAAGTGTTTCTTGGTTCTATTATCCTTGATACTTGTTTAGTTAGGTCCTGTTACATGTAATTTGTATCCAAAATTTTAGACAGTATCACCATGTAAGATGCTACTACCCGCTTTATGTCTCCCTGTATATTATTTGTAATTCAGGTTATCTATTGTATGATGCATAGAAGTATTATTTATTTTAATACTGAGTATACTTTTACTGTGTATTTGATATTATCATAGAAGTATTATTTATTTTAATATATTCTACGAGTTTTAAATAAGTTATTCGATTAAAAAAATTAATAAATCTGATTTTACTTAAAGCTAGTGAAAACCATATTAACCCATTTACATACATATATATATATATATATATATATATATAACATAATATATTAAAATTATTTTTCAAATATTTTTCAAGAGTTTTGATCGATTTTTGGTGCGGGTTAGATTTGATATTGGTTTTCGGATAAACACTTTATGAACCCTTCGAGCATATTAGACCATATCAAATAGAGTATGATACTTTGATTTTTGAGTCGATTTCAAATCGGATTTTTTGGATTTGAATATTCTTGACTAATTATGTTAGGTAACTACTAAGAAAATTAATATGTTACAAAATTTAAGAATAAAGTTTAAAAATATTTTCTTATATGCATATAGCATAAGTGTATAAGTGTATAGTTATGTGATTTAACATATTTAATATAGTTACCAAAATTATATTAAATCAATTTAATATTAAACACAAATATAATATAAAAAAATAACACAATTATAAAAATTAAGTTTCTCGGAAAAACGAAAGAGGGGATTACAATCTAGTAGAACATAAAAGTCAAATATAAATCTACAAAGATAACAGCGATGCTTTTTGATAGGTATATACGGTACTACTAGGTGGTTTCATGTACCATGTGCAGAAATAAGGGTTTTAAAAATAAATTTATATTTAAAAATAAAATTTAATTAATTTTTAAATTTATTATTTTATTATATTATTAATTTTACATTAATTATATGTAAAAATTAAGAGAAACTAAATAGTTTTATTTAAATATAGGACAGTTCTCTCAAATAGAATTTTTTTAGGTTTTTTCACAAAAACAAATCTTAAAACTAAAATGACTAAAACAGTATTTTTTATTTAGAAAATTTCAATTTTTTTTTTAAAAAAAAAATTGTAATCCTATCCCCAAAACCCACTCCTCAACTTTAAACAAAAAGGTTTACGATTAGTTAACCCAAAGGATATAAATGTATATTTACTTATTTTTGATCAAACATTTAAGTCTATCTTGGTCATTTTTATTTTAAGGTCTATATTTGTAATTAAAACTTTTTTTACGTCTATCTTAAAATATTTTCTTAAATTTATATTTTATAATATATATGTATCTTTTATCTTTTGGTTAAATTATATTAAATCAGATTTTATACTATTAAGAGAAAATTTTGTTAAATATATAATGGTAATTGAATTATAAAATTTTAATTTTTAAAAAAACTATATAAAATTTTGAAAAAAAAATTGTTAATAAAATTATATAATTAAAAAATACACTTAAAATATTTCAATATTTGTAATGTTATTATATTTATATTTCTACTATTATATTATTTATTATCTTAATGATAATTTATGAGTTCTTTTTCTTATCACTATTTTAATACAAATTTTTGTTTAATCAAACATAAAAAGTAATATAAAAAGGTTTTTGTTTTTTTAAATTATATTTAAGAATATGCATGTATATATTTAAAATTATAATCTTAGATAATTTTTTATCTATTTATTTTACTTAAATATATTTATACATTTGTAGAAAATTTTATAATTATCAAAAATTAAAGTTAAACAATATTATTTAATTTATAAATATATAAGAAATTAATAATTTTAGGTTTAAATTTTAATAATTTTCAAAAAAATGTATACATTTTTGAAATTTTTGTAATAAAATTGTATAGTTTTAAAATATATAATTAAATGATATTTTCGAAATTTTTAATGTCACAATGGTATTTATTTATTTTAATGATGATTTATTAGTTATTATCATATTTTAAAAATATTTCCAAAAATATAAATCGACATTAAATGTAATATATGAGTTGTTACCATATTCTATAATTTTTTCTAAAAATATATATTAAAATTAAATGCAATTGTCCATGTCATATTTAATCATATGCCATGTCATCAATTCTATTAGACATGTCACCATTTTTTGTGAAACTGATTCTGGATAGGACATGTGGCAAAATCACTTCACAAATAATGTATAGGGGATTACTTACTAAACACAATAGAATAATATTTTATCATTATTAAAAAATAATTAAAAAACATAACCTATTTATAAGTGTATAAACCAAACTATTTTTTTATAGGTAAATATTTCTATTTATAGGTTATATGGGTCAATTTTTTTAGTTAAAAAATGATTCAATCTGTTGCTCTCAACGAATCAAACATATAAGTGCAAAGGAATGTGGCCTCCCAAAGTTACTAAAATCCATATGTAAACATACCACCAACAAATTCTAACCGAAACATTAAAGAAATGTGACTGCTTATATGTTTAAAGCAACAAAGAGGACATAAGTTAAGAAGATACAAGTTTACACAAAAAAAAAAGTTAAGAAGATCACAATAAATAAACAAAAAATGATAGAGGCCAATATTTCAGCTAAAAAATCATTAATTAATGAAATATAACAACATATATAGTATAAAAAGTACTAAAGCTACTTAATATTTTTCAAAAAGTAACTATAGAATACAATTTCATTGACATACATTCATGCTAACATTTAATTATCTAATAATATATGATATTATTAGCTCTATATTTTTAATTTGTGAAAATTACAAAAAAAAAGTTTAACTAATTAATCTTTAATAGTTAAATAAAAAAGAAAATATTAATATTTTATTAAATATAGAGTGTGTGAACTTTTAATAAAGATTTAAACATGATTACTAAAATATTAATATAAGCTTTAACTATGTTTACATATAAAATATATATTATAATAGAAGTTAATGATATTCCTAACAAAAAAATTATAATCTTTCAAAACAATTAACTCTAATCGTCAAATATTATAACAAAACAAATAATTTATGTAATATAAACACAAAAATAAAACTAATGTATTTTAAGTTCTTAAGTTTGAGTTATAAAAAGACTTCGTGGATTGGAAATATTTTGGTAGAAAAAAAAATATTCTTTAGCTGGATTTGTTAAGAAAAAAAAAGTTAAAATTTAGAAAAACCTGAGGAAAATTAGGTAAGAAAAAGTAATTGAATAGAATTATTTTATCTGCAAATCAGCGATGAACAGTAAACTATTTAGACATATTTTACCATTAGATAGAAGCCTTGAACACAGTGAAGTGTTAAAAGTGCACGTTAGTGTGTTAAGACGTAAGAGGCGACTTGAGAGCCTATAAATACTAGTCAGTCGCAAGAAAATGGACATTCGCTTGTGAAAGTCCACCAAACGGTCAAGACCTGTAAACTAAACTAAAGTGATTTTATTTCACTTTCTGAATGAATAATATTACAATCTTATTAAAATTAATTTCATCAGAATTATATTTTCATCAAAATTATTTTTTTCTGAAACTGTTATCTACTTGATTTTATAGTTAGTATAGGAGGATGTGTTCACATTATCTACATTGTACACTAGTTTACAAAACAATATTTTAACACAATCTACATGTACATTGGTTTATAAAATATCTATGTACACCTTACCATGATATAATACTATGATACTATCTACCTATACATTTATAAGTATATCACACATTTTATATGTCAAACAAATAATATTCACATATTTACAAATGTGAACACATATACATCGTTTTACCTCTGTTCACACACACACCATTCATAAATATTCACATATATACCTTCTATTCTATATAACGTAACATCGCTCACCTAACAAATGCTCTCTTTTATACACAACTAGTGGTTTGCCTGCGCTACGCGCAGGATATTAGTTGTATTTTTTTTTAGAATTGTTGTGATAATGGTAGCCAACACCAATTTAGTGAGAGAGTGAGAAAACATTGAAAGAAATCACTGTTTTTTAATTACAGAAAAAATGCAGAAAAAAAGAGAAATAAGACAAACTAACGCAATTAGGTTTAGCTACACAGGCGTTTACCAATTTCCTTTAATTTTTGATTTCTGTGTTTTTCTGGTCTCACATGCGTACAACCAAAACTGTGAAGAAATTTCAGTTGGCGGTGACGACCATGACTTCATTAAAACCAACATGATCAGTTTTTGTTTATAGGTTAATAGGTTATCATTTCATAGCTATATTGTTAAGTAATTTATAGATTCATTATCCTGATCCATTTGTAACACTTAGTTGTTCAGATTTTAGCATATTGTATATTTACTAATATAAATGGTAAAAGTGTTGTTACGACATAGTCTAGTTTTAACATTAAAGTATATATATATTTAAATGCATATTTTCATTTATTTTAATATTTATTTAAATTGTTTATGACATTTTTAGTAGTTTTTTCGGGTGCTAGTGAGATGTATATTGTTTAAAGATTTTATTATTTATTTATATTCAAGAGTCTAGCACGTATTGAAAACTCAGAAAAAGTCGAAAGTACTTGGAAACTAATATTTATACATTCACGTATTAGAAAGTTTTTATGTGTATCACAATAATATCAGTCTCCATGATATCTCTTTGGAAATTTGAAGGAGCTTTCCAATGATTAAGTGTGGATGATTTAAAATATTTGATTCGGTTCGGTTAAAGTCTAGTTTTTATTTGAATCATAGGCTCGCGTCGTTTCTTTGTTTTGGAGGGAATAAGCAATATAATTAAATCAGTTTAATTATAACCAGCTTGAAACTCAAAATATTTGATTCGGTTCGGTTAAATCACCAGAAGGTCCAGAACCATGCCAACTTAAAACCGGTCCTTCTTCTTCTCTGAACATTCCTTCATCGTTTCTCAGCAAATCTTAGTCGCCGATTCGAAGTGCCGAGGCCGTTAGCAATGGACTTTGCTTCCTGCACAATAAATACAACCTTGCAATTCACATAGAGATGTGAAGTAAACTAATATTTTCTTCGATGAAGATAACATGGAAGTGAAGTGAATATGGGTTAAAATACATGCTACATTTTAACAAAGCTTGGTCTCTCCTCAACTGCGCACATAGGTACTAACCATGGTTTTTGGTTTTTGGATCTCCTTGTGTTTATGTCTTACCACTACATATAATTTATTACACCTAACAATAAACTCTTTTAAAAATAGATCACATGAACGTTGTAATTAGAGCGGAGCAGCAAAAAGTCAATTACAACTTTGGAGAGCTTATTTTGGATGCAAAACAAGCCAAAAGGATGTTCTTATACGAGAAGTATACGCAGAAAACGAAGTGAGCTTGAGTAGTTGAAATCGTACTTCACTGAATATTAAGTATCCATATGTTATGACGATGCTGTTCTTGAAACAATGCATCTTTGTTACTCTTAAACTAAGATTAAAAAAGGAAATAAAGTGGGCTTTGAAAAGAAAAGGTTCATCTCTACATTAGCTTTAACCATTTGCAGAGATATCAAGTATTTCTAAGTTCTGAAGCAACGTACTGAAAAGAAAAACGGTTCAAAGTTTCAATCGATGAACAAAGAAAATGTAAAGAAAGGTTTTAAACGAGCTTACGGTCAAAACACTGCCTGCAGATTTCTTCTTCTAAGGGCGACCACCTCTGTTAAGATTCACCATGCGACTTGAGCCATCCATTTGCATACCACCTCTGTTTCCTGAGCCAGCTCTTCCAGCATATCCTCCTCCTCCACCTCGGTTCTGTCCCGACCAGTCTCTAGGCTGACCATTCTGTCCAGATGATCTTCCTCCATAACCAGATCTGTTACCTTGCCTTCCTTGTCCATAGTTCATGTTGTTATTGTCCTGCCATCTCCCACCACCAGATGCTGCTCCTGCGTAGTCCTGGTTGTTGTCCCTTCTCCTCGAACTCAGATCAAGACCACCTCCACCGGTTCTAGCTTCCATTGCCCTTTCATTACTCTCTGCCAAAACCGAGAGTTTCTCAGTCAACTGAAAAGCCAGTGACTGTAATCTGCTGTGTTGCACTTCGTGGAAGACAATGCATCGTGTTGGCTGGTCCCAGCTTGCATGAAGCTCTTCATTGATCATCATCTTGCTCACAGTGCTGTGAACCAGTGCTTCAGAGAGATCAAACATCTTAGCCAGCTGTTCAAGGCTTAGAGACTCATAGGAGCTCGAGTATGTGAACAGGTAAGTCCTTAAGGCCTCTTCTTTGATCCTAGCTTTCACCATTTCGAGGATGCTGTCCCTGTTCTTGAGCAGTCTCCAGACATCAAGAGAGTTCAACACTTCAAACGCCGTCTGGAAATCTCCTTTGGTAAGGGCTCTGGTGGCTGCCATGACGTGGTCACGTACATTCTCAGGTGGTGCATTGAACGCTTGCCTCTCACTGATCTCAAGCAGACGACGGAAATTCTTGCTAATCACTCTGCGTCTGGCTTCAAGCGAGTTTGCTGCCATGTTTGGGACTTCAAGCAGCATGGCACCGATGAGATGAACAGCCTCCAGGAGCTCGAGGTTCAAGTGCATGTGGTATGGCATTTGTCTTCTCCTCTCCATCCTTTCCTGTTAAAATCAAACGTTTTTTTATATCACATATAAGTATACTGAATGAAACAACATGACTATGTTCAAATGGAGAAAACAGACTGTACGAAAAGGAAACAAATGGAGAACCTTCAGATGCAGCAGAATTATACATATACTGGAAGCTCAGGTTTTTGAATAGTTGATTCATACTCATTACTCAATCTGATTAGACAGTCATACAGTATTTGTACTTGTGTTTTACTCAAAAAACTATGACGAAACAATTCATTTTTCAGACTCTATTTGTATTAGATGATCTAAAAAAGAAGTAATTACCTGTTCGGGTGTCTTCTCATGATATCGACTTTGCGAGACACCTTGAGCAAGCAACTCCCTCACTCTTTGACCAGAGTAAAGCTCAGCGAGGCAGCTATGGGATTCAGTGATCATTCCAACCCGGAAGGCACAAAGACCGAGCTGCGCCATGGTCCTGTTAAAGAGAATCTGTGTTGAGATGTCCATATGCTGAATGTTGTCTTGGAGATGACTCATTAGCAACAAGTCCCTAGCAGTCCCAAAGTTGTCCATCAAAGCATGGTGATAGATATCACATAGCATTGCACGGGCTTTGGTCCGCTCATCTCCATTTCTGTAGATAAGGGACACAAGAAGATCCATCATTGCTCGGCCACTCTCAGGGAAGGTAGGCTTACGAGGGACAACCTCTGGAACAACAATGAAGGAAGAAGGAGGTCCATTTTCCTCTTCCGCCTCCTCATCTTCATCATCCAACTCAGCCAATTTCCTCATAGCCTCATAAACTTCTTGGGGCTTGTAATATATTGACTCAACTCGTCTCAAGGCTACCTTTGCAGCAGATTTGTAATCACCCATCCGCTCAAAGTAGTCCTGGATGTTCTGAGCAAGAGCCAAGAACATGGGCTCATCCCTCAATCTCTCAACATACTCACGGGTGTGAGGATCAATGGACTGCAAACTCTTGAAAAACTCAGTGTCGATCCTCTCTATGAACGCAACCAAGTTACCCCAGACCCGAATTTTCCCATCATAATCTGCTGGCTTTGAAGATTCATTCTCATCAGGTTCAATCGTGTCGTCCACAACAATGTTATTGTACTTGACAAGAATGTCCAGTATGGTGAGCATGTTCAGCACGCACTTCTTCCAGACTTTGATAGGCATGTGTCCGCTGAGACCTGGATTCACATCAAACTGTGCTGAGATAACGCTAAACAAGATCTCAAGCTTCTGCGCAGGAGTCTTGGCAATCTTTGTCAAGTGTGTAAGCTGATCAACAAGCTCAAATCGAGCAGTCCCCTTCTTCCCACGAGCAGCAACAATCTCCTTAAACTTCTGGTTGACCCACTCCCAAGTGATCTCTTTAGGATCTTTATTAAGCAGCTTCTCCATTTCCCTTTCTCCCTTGTTTTTCGTCTTCTCCCAGGGATTATCAGCAGGCTCTTCCACATCCGGTACAATCACATCATCTATGGAAACATCATCCTCAAACTCAGACACCTCAGACTCCTCTTCCTCAGCTTTTCCTTCATTCTCATCCTCAACTTCCGGAGCCTCCCTATACTTAACAATATCCTCTTCATACATCTTATTATTCTTCTTCAACCTCTGTTTCATCGAGTTCAACGCCTTGGCATTGCTAGGGCTCATCTTCTTCTTAGCCTCCTTATTAGCCAAAGCCTCATTCAAGAAATCCTCAAGCAAGACAAGAGTCTTGATATACAAAACAGGAGCCTTCACCGCCTCGGTGATCCTCATAACTTTCTCAAGCTGTTTGTTGAGCTTATCGAAATTCTCTTGAAGGCTGACCCAATCATTGATCTTCATAGCGTTCTTCATCTGCTCAACGGTGTGTGTCATCTCCTCGAAACGCTTGTCCTTGGCCGGCTTGACGACACGCTTGGTATCAATATCGTCATCGTCGTCACTGCCGCTTTCGAGGTAACGTTTATCGATGCTGTTGTCGTTCTGAACCTCCGGGATGTCATCGATATCACTCGCGTCTTCGCTATCACTACTACCCTGTAAATAAGGCAACATTAACAAGAAAACCGTTACGAATCTGAAGAGGAGCAAATGGTGGTGAAAATGAATGGATACCTGAGCGAAAAAACGTGACGTCATCTTCTTCTTTAGATCTTAATGTGTAGCAACAAGAACCTGATACGATTAACAGCTAGATTACATATAAACGCAAAGGTACGGAGACAACTCGATCTAAGCCACCTAAGTTCAGATCTAAACGAGTCATACAGACACCGAATCGACGATTCGTACCACTAAAGACGCGAATCGATTTGAGTTACGCACGATGAAGAAGAAGGAGATTACCTCAACGCGATCTGAAAGGAAGATGTGAAGAAGGAAGGTGTCGCCGTCGAAAGTCTTCGATCTTCGATCAGAGAGAGGGTGAGGTATAGACTAGAATTAGGGTTTTATTTATTTAGTCTAAACCGATTGGTTTTCTAGTTACGAAACGATAACCGACGTATCTATTAGATGGTGCTGAACCGGTCGGTTTGTGGGTTGCTTGGTGCGCGGGTTTTCGTAACAACAAATAACGGGTTTTGTAAGATTATTGGTTAACGTGATGACTTTCGATTGAATACACGAGTGTGTTTATATAGTACAACAAAAAGTGCTCCCCAAGTTTAGATAGATTATTAGACTAGTCCCAAATTTTAGATAGAGTATTCCTCAAGTTTAGGAATAACAATTAAACACGGCTTGTGTATTCAAAATATTAATTGTATTCGAGAAAGACTTATTCTTAGGTTAGTAGAGATGGCAAACCCTTTGACCTTTGTGTGTGTGTTTTTTTTTTTGGGTCAAAACCTTTGTGTATATATCCGCAAATTGTCTAGCTATTAGATGGTGCTAAACCGGTCAGTATGTGAATTGCTTGGTGCGCGGAACAATTTTAATTCCAACGGTTTAACAATAGTCGATACAAGATTTAATATCGTTTCGGAAATAACATACAAATGGATCTGCAACTACTGTACATTATTGTCATGACCCATCTTCAGGCCCATCGATTTTGGCCCAAGACGAAGGCCCAGTTACAGAAGCCCAAGGTATTTTCTTTAAATACCAAATTCTCCAGCTTTGTTTTCTTCACCTGCAACCAAAACCAAAAAAAGAGAGTTAGAGAAAGTTAGAGAGAGAGAGTTTAAGAAAGGGAAGTGTTGGTTTTTGCATGCAGAGGTGGAGCCACCAGAACTCGTCGCCGGAGCCACCACACGCGAGGAATACACTGAGCTCGTCACCACCGACCCCCAGCCTAGGTAATCCCGGAAACCACCACCTTCTTCGAGTTAGTTTTGATACGTTTAGTAAATCGACCATAACTTCCTAACCGTTGAGAATCTCGTTAATGCAAGGCTACCACCGTGTTCTACTCGTCGAGACGAATCCATAGACCCCGAAAACGCCGCGATCCGACCTCAGACGAGCCTCCACACGCCGCCCGAAGATACGCCGTCTGAGGGCGTGAATTACACGTGCCGACCACGCACCGCCGCCTCCGACGCGCGTGAGCCACACGCGCCTCCGTCTCCGACCGCCGGTCGCCGGAGCCGCCGTAGCCGGCCGCCGTTAGTCCATCGCCGGAAAGTCGCCGCCGCCGCCGCGCCGCCGCCGGAGATCCGCCGGTAAGCCGCCGCCCCTTCTCGCCGGACCGGTGACCGGAGCCGGTGACTCGCTGGTGACTCGGTCAACTCGGCCGGGTTGACTCGGCGGGTCAAACCGTTGACTCGGTTAACCGGTTTGTGCTTGGTCAAAATCGGTTTGTTGGTTAGGGTTAAACCGGCGGTTAAAATCAATTAGAAATCGATTAGGGTTAAACCAGTTAATTAAATTAATTGATTTTGGTTAAAAGTAAACCGGATTGAAATCGATTGGGATTTGGTTCAATTCAATTCGAAATCGGTTAAGGTCAAACCGATTTGGTTAAGTCAATTGATTTCTGGTCAAGGGTTGACCGGGTTGACTTTGACCTGCGAGTTGACTTTTTGTCTAATCCACCCGAAACCCGTTTTAAACCGTTCGAAAGCCGTTCTGACTCGATTTTTCGCCCTGGTTTCAGATTTGGAGTCTATTTGAGCACCTGGAGACCATAGATACCACTTCTCTTCATTGCTAAGGTGAGGGCTATTCCGTTTAAATCACGAACTAGTTTAGTACTACTATTATGATAAGTCTAGTTTCGAAACATGATCCGTCTCTGTGAATCGAGTCTTGCTTGTTTATTTTTATTTTTGATTGATAAAATGGAAATAGGATAATAGAGGATTCAACGGCTGTGTGAAATGATTGACGCTGAGTACTGTTATATATATGTATATATATAGTTACATAGTAGGGACTATGTGATGTGGGCGGGGGTTCAAAGATGTCTGGACTATCGACGCCGCGGGTTTTGTGCGGGGGACCAGAGACGTCTGAGTTTGCGCCGCAGCGGGTATTGGGCGGGGGTACAGTGAGGTACCAGCGACGCCGCGGGTTTGGTGCGGGGGTACAGAGACGTTTGTACTAGCGACGCAGCGGGTGGTAGTGCGGGGGTACAGAGACAGACTGTACTAGCGACGCAGCGGGTATAAGTGTATATCCTTATGAGGAAATGCGCGGTTCAGGGAGTAGCTTTGTACTATGAGCGCATGGGTGATAGTTGATAGTTGGTAGTTGGCTAGTGAACTGGATTGGCATTGTGTGTTCTGTGTGGTGTTTTATCACCGTGTTTGTCTCATGCTAGAACTAGGTTTACATAGTCGTAGTGCTATGTACTGAGTCAGTGATTTGAGGTTTAGCATCACATACCTCACTGAGCGACTCCCCTGTTGCTCACCCCTCCTTTCTTTTCCCTCCTTGCAGGTGAGACCGATGAGCAGGAGTGATTATATCGGACCGGTGCTATTTGGGCTTTTGGGCTTCTATCTTATCTTATTGTACTTTATCGTATTTTATCGCTATTGGGCTTATAAGCCTTTGGACTTTTATCGCATATGTCGTTTCGCATTTTCAGACTTTCGGTTTATGTTATTTATATTTCGGATATTATGTTGTATTACGGATTTCCGACGTGGATGTTAACTTTTCAGTATTTGATAATGAAACTTATGTTATTATTATTTGGCTATTATATTTATATTATTTTGGAGAAGTCGGGTGTGACAATTTTTGGTATCAGAGCATGGTTCCGTCCCGGCTCCGACCCGGGATGGCGATTCGTGGAGACCTGGATTTTTAACTCGGATTTTAATTCGGTTTTGCTTCGGTTTTACACAATTTTAAAAGTATTTTGGGGATTTGGGAATTTTCAAAATAAAAATCAATAGCACCATTATGTCCGGTATCACTTCTTTAACCCTTTTGAATTAGTCTTTGATAGAAGTTAACCTGTTTGTTCCCCTTTCAGATGCCACCGCGACCGAGAGTTGTTCGTACTCAGACTACTAGAGCTTCCAGAGAGGCAGGAGATGATGATGTTCAGCCCGCAGTTCCGCAGCCCCCACCGGTTGATCAGGACGCTTTGAGGCAGATGGTGCATGATGCAGCTAGACAAGCTGCTCAGGAAGCAGTTCAGCAGGTTGCCCAAGAGGCAGCTAGACAGGCCGCTCAGGAAGCTGCCAGGGTTGCAGCACAGGAGGTTGCTAGACAGATGGCTGCAGTTCAGCAGGGTCCGCAGATTCCGCATGGTCCTCAGGTTCAGGTGCAGCATGGTCCGCAGATTCATGTGCAGCAGGCTCCACCGATTCAGGTTCAGCATGATCACCAGATTTCCACGCAGCAAGTTCCAGAGGGATTTCAGTTTTCACCACCACCACCCGTCATTCCAGAGTAGGTTCTTGAGTGTGATGAGATACTTATGAAGATGATGGGGCAAATGAAGTATGTGAAGTTGGAGCCTTTCTTGGGTGCAGTTGGAGCGGAGGATGCTTATAATTGGAAGCATAGGCTGGATAGTTGTATGGATATCATCAAGTGCCCACATCGTCTCCGACTTAATATTGCCGAGTTGTATTTGCGTGGAGATGCCTTAGTATGGTGGGATGGAGTGAAGCTGATGCGTGGGGTCAATCAGACCTATGATGATTTCCTTCGTGTATTCGATAAGAAGTATTTTCTCAAGGAGACCTTGCACCAGAAAAAGAATGAGTTTGAGCATTTGAGGCAGGGTACTAGGACGGTCAGGGAGTATGAGTTCGAGTTTCGCCGGCTCCGCATGTTCGCCGGTAACACTATGGATGAGGAGGATCTGATCAGGAGGTTCTTGGATGGGAAGCGAGTGGAACTTCGTGGTAGATGCAGTGTGGTGTCTTACACCAGTTTGGAGGATTTGGTGGAGAAGGCTTCTACTCAGGAGAAATGTTTGGTAGAGGAGCAGAAGTTCTCTAAGAGCGCTCAGCCTAAGACAGGGAGTACTTCACAGCCACAGAAGAGAACTTGGGATCAGTCGAGAGTCCGGTGCCACACTTGTGGAAAGATGGGACACATAGCCAGGAACTGTCGGAGTAGGCCATTGGGAGCTCAGGGAGCAGCACCCGCGGTGCCAGTAGCACCAGTAGCACCAGTAGCACCAGTAGCACCGGTAGCACCAGTAGCGGGGACTAGGAACTGTTTTGGTTGTAACCAGCCAGGTCACATGATCATAGATTGTCCGAGGAGGGGCAATGCAGCGCTTCCACCACCAGCGAAGCGTCCTGCCATTTCTCCACGTGTGTTTGCTACAGGAGACCCGCAAGGAGCAGAGCCGATAGCGAGTATGTATATTCATCATGATTCGTTGTAATTGAATAATTTTGATTCGTGGTTAGTATTTTCATTTAGTAAAATTCTGTGTAGGATCGGTTTTGGTTGGAGGTGAGCCAGCTCGCACTTTGTTCGACACGGGAGCTTCTCACAGGTTTGTGAGTCCGCATTTGGTCGAGTCTTGGACTTTTCGAGGTGTTTTTGAGCCAAAATCTAAGCAGATTCAGACCGCCGGCATAGAGAAGTTGGGAGCAGTTGGTGTTCATCGAGATATACCAGTTATGCTTGGAGGAGTTGACTTACTCGGAGATTTGACAGAGGTCGAGATGAGTTTCTACGATGTCATACTTGGGATGGATTGGTTTTCGCGCCATCAAGTCGTGTTGGATTGCCCGAGGACAAGAGTTAAGATTCCTAGGCCCGAAGGAGAGATCATTTTTCAGGGAATTCAGGCATACCAAGGAGTTTCCATCGTTTCCATGTTACGTGTTGAAGAGTTGTTGGAAAGAGGAGCCGAAGGATTTTTAGCAACCATTTCGATGGTTAATGATGATGGGCAGCAGGAGTTGCATGATATCGCAGTGGTTGCTGAGTTCAAGGATGTTTTTGAGGTCTTGAAAGGGCCACCACCAGA